CTCGAAACTGACAGACACAAATATCGTTCCGTACAGCTTTGCCATTAGTTGTAATAAAGACTGAACAATACATAAAATTAATTTTAAATGATCAGGAAATGTATAAGTGAAATAAAATGAATTTAGCTCAAAGCCGAATATCACATAAAATACAACGACCGTTTCCCCTTCAGAAAAACAACTACTCCTTTGGCTAATACCACAACAGGCATTGAATTACATCCTGAAGGAAAAACAGCAGAGATAGAAATTAATTTTCAACACTCTCTACTTCGATTTTGCTCACCAAGGAGAACATCATTCTTGGACCGGTTACGTCCCTTATTAGGACTCCTCAGCAAGAAATAGATAGGTTCTCAATTCCAGTCTCTAATGGAATTAACAAATGCTACACATTTCACCAGTATACCATAAAGTTGGTTACGGAGAGAATAAAATTCAAGTAGTGAAAATGGTGTCGCCATCTGTTCTTAGTAAGCAAAATCAAAGTGCGCTATGGTACCCAGTTTGAAAACTAGGTGGAACCAAAAAGACCAGGCGGGCAATTTGTAAACGATAATAAATTATCAAAACTCAAATGTAATAGTAGCAAAATGAAATAAAATGAATTTAGCTCAAAGCCGAATATCACATAAAATACAACGACCGTTTCCCCTTCAGAAAAACAACTACTCCTTTGGCTAATACCACAACAGGCATTGAATTACATCCTGAAGGAAAAACAGCAGAGATAGAAATTAATTTTCAACACTCTCTACTTCGATTTTGCTCACCAAGGAGAACATCATTCTTGGACCGGTTTCGTCCTTATTAGGACTCCTCAGCAAGAAATAGATAGGTTCTCAATTCCAGTCTCTAATGGAATTAACAAATGCTACACATTTCACCAGTATACCATAAAGTTGGTTACGGAGAGAATGTATAAGTATTACTCACTACTGATTTTTGTCATAAATAATATCTTTTAATCGTACTAGGATTGTATATTATCTATAATTTACCACAACCTACAACTCTACTGCTAACTATATTTTGATTCTGCTAGAAATTGGTAACGTACAATTGAGATATGACAACACGGTTTACTTTCAATCATTATTTGTTTAACTTTAGAAAGGAGTTTTGTCTGGAATAATTTTATTTCTTTTACAAGTGACCAAGTGGCTTTACTTTTATTATCAGATTTCCAGATGAACTCTTCTCTAGACATTTTTTTGCTACCCTTACAACAGTTTTTACGACAGTACTATATTGTTTATAATGTTCATTTGAGATAGTTCCATTTAGCATTTCCCCATTGAGAAACGTTTGTTTTGACAAGATGTTTTTATACCAGATGTAATCCATGTTCTTGCCCTTTTCTTTTAGAATTCCTTTACTGGAAAAATTAAGTCTCATTTTATTTTAGAATGGAATAAGTCATATTCAGTATTGATCTCTACAGTATCCAGAATATCTTCTCAAGTTTCAAATTTTGGTTCTTCGATGTTTTTTTCTATGTGCTCTCTAGGATCTTTTATTGTATTTGAGAAAAACGGTCAGATATAGGTAGATCTACCAGATGAACACTTTCATAATCCTGAAATTTAACGAATATATTATCTATTAGAGTCCTGCTTATTTTGGTTACTCTTGTAGCTTCAACAACTAGTTATTTAAAATTATTACTTTCAGTTATATCTATAAAAGTGTCAGACTGATAATTTATTTCAAAGAGATTGATGTTGAAATCACCACATACTATTATTTTAAAAGTTTTAAATTTATTACTAACATATTGTAAGATTTTATCTAGCCTATCAATAAATATATTAAAATTTTGTTTACCTGTGTGTTATATACAGAGTATTATACAACTTAGACCCTTTTCAGTGATTTTAATGCATGCACATTCAATCACACTTTCAACACTTAGATTTTCAACATGTTCAACCGAACATAATTTTCTCGGGATACACATGACCTCATTTGATATCCAGTAATCTTTATGAAGTCCTTCTCGTCGGAACAAAGCCAATGTTCAGTAAAACACAATACATCTGGTTTAAGATGCAATGTTTCCAAGTGATCTTCGATATCGGAAACTTTATTTTTCAGGCTTCGTATATTTTGATTCAAAACTTGTAAGCACCCCTTTGCTTTTTTGTGTAGGTAAACTTTGTTTCGTTAGTGGGGGTGGTGAGTGGCTTCTTTCTGCTCGATGGGTTGGACAACATTGATATATCTGTTAGATAATAGTGCCCAATATTGCTCATATTCTACAGGTCTCTGCTCCCTTCTTCATCATTATCTAACAGTGCAGCTATAATTACTTACTAGTTTTGTCACATTGAGCTTATGCTGAGCTGTCAATGATCAATTTATTTTTCATAGTCCAAAAGCTCTTGAATCCGTCAAAAGTACGATCGGTATTTTTAACGGAGATTATCCGAAATAGAAGTGGTTAAAAAAGTTTTTCGTTTGTAAATCCTTAACGAAAGGATTGGGTTTTAAATTATTTTGTATATTTTTATCTCCTCTGAGGCTAGTATTTTATATATTTTTTTTACATATGAAATATATTTATTTTTTATTTTCCAAAAATAAATAATTTTTTAATATTCTTGGATTGTATTTTTTTTTTCAAATAGTTTTTATGTAAAATAACAGTCTAATTTAAAAATATATGAATATCACTTCCGAAAAATAGCGTGAGATTCGAACAGAACCCTGATTTTTCCTAAAATCAAAAATAATGGGCCAGTTCACTTTAATTTTTTTCTTTGTAAATCGATTTTATTTTTATTTTATTTTAATTATAAACCGTTATTTTTGTACTTTTACCTTGTACCTGTTACTAATTTTAAAATTAAAATTCAATGTGCAAATTTTCCCTTTAAGTTCTTAATTTTAATATCGTGTACAAAATATTTTTTAAGAAATAAAAATAATGTAATTAATGAGTGCATTTTTAATTCATTTACTTTTAATTAGGATTTTATTCTCTGGTATCTGGTATTTTTGGCGAGGGACGGGCGGCCATAAAATTAAAATTACTTAAGTCGCCTATGGTCCGAATTTTACTGCATATAAACAACGAGATTTTTAAAAATAGAAAATTAATATTTTAAAAAATATACTCATTGTTTCCAAGATACTTTTCATCGCTGTTAGGTTACTTCTAATTGCTATATTGTTATCATATATTATTAATCTGTATCAGTAGAGATTTATTATACAGCAGAGCTGGAGAGGATTCGAATCACAGGATTCGATTCCTTTTGAGGATCCGAGAGCGGTATTCGAATACTTAAGAAAAAAAGGATCCGTGATCCGAATTCGCTGAGGAAATCCTTAAGGATTCGTATTCGAATCACCAATATTAGTCTCTGATCCTTTTAGAGACTACGCCGGCGTGAATGGTCGACTCACGCTTTGTTTTGTGCGAATTGTAAACTGAAACAGACTGAGACTGAAGACCGATTGTTAATATTTAGAAGATGAACGTAACAATCTATAAATTAATGTCAAAGAAGGCAGCAGAGCACCTAGATAATTTTGAGTTGAAACCCATGCCATCTACTTATGTCACATGGTTAAGCTATTTTTAGGCTCTTAAAATATTATTTTTCGAAAAAAATTGTGTTTTTTAAAGAATACAGGGTGCTTTGTTGGAACAGAGGTGCTTTACTAGTTTCGTTCGAAGCTAGCAAAGCAACCTGTATTTTTTAAAAATAACATTTTAAGATCCTAAAAATAGCCTAAAAATATTTTGTCGTTTTTGGAATAAAACTTAAAAAACTGAGGTGCTCTGCTGACATCGTTAGAAGCTATCAGAGCACCTTGATTTTTGCAACGAGTAGCATAAAAATAGCTTTAAAATAGCCTAAAAATATGGCATAGGTTTCAACTCAAAATTGCCTAGGTTTTCCGCTGCTTTCTTTGACATTACAAATTGGCAATGAACATTCCAACATAAAAAAATCCTAAAATTTAACACTTTACTTCCTTCGTCTGGTGCAGTCTTAACAATTATTTTTGGTGCTAAGTAAGACCAACCAAAAGACATTTTTATTTCATTGTTTATTATTTTGTTTTTTGCATTAAATAAAATATATTTTTTGTAGATTCTAATTTATTTATGGTTCATATTTATAGAAAAAGAAATAAGTTAATTTTTTTCAAAAGCTTCTTGTATCAACCATTTGTATGCAATTCATGGCCCGTAATAGACATATAGTTGATACTGATATTAAATTTGGAAGCATACATAATACCATGGTATGTCACAGTGATTCGTATTCGTGATCCATAAAAATGGATTCGAATCACTTGATTCGAATCCTTTTTTATTGCAAAAATGATTCGGCCATATGATCCGTGATTCGAATCACATCTCGTGATTCGAATCAATTTTTTGAGGATTCGTCCCAGCTCTGTTATACAGGGTGTTCCATCTCAGACGAATCACCCCGTATATTTCTTATCCCATAGTAATTGGAAAAATTTCCCGAAACACGTCGGATGATTTTCTTTGGGGGACATCTTTTGACGTATATGTGAGGCTTGAACGAGCAACCCCCTATGAGGGGGCGCTGCAACCCCTCAAACTTGAATAGGGAAGAGGGGTTGAGTGATACTTCATTTGTAAGGTTTTGGAAGCCTCTTTAGAACGGTGTAAATTACATTCTTAAAAAAATTAATTGTTTTATCATGCTTACAATCAAAAAAATCAAAACTGCGTTTTTAAATCAAATATTCAAATTGTCCTCCATTGACTTCCATACAATAACACAATCTTGACTGAAAACCGTCTCTAACATGGTCCAGCATAATTGGAGTTATTTGATGACACTCATTTACAATTCGTTGGCGTAGTTCGTCCAAATTTTCAGGCTGTCACAAAAATCTTGGACTTAAGATGTCCCCACAAGAAGAAGTCCAGAGGGTTCAGGTCAGGAGAGCGAACAGGCCACTCCATATGACTTCTTCTTCCAATGCAACGACCAGGGTATTGTAAATTGAGGTATTGGCGAACTGGTGCGGCGTAGTGAGGAGGAGCTCCGTTTTGTTGGAAATGCAATTATTGTTCAATTAGTAGAGGATCGTTTTCTAATTTTTCTGTTATTAACGGATCAATCGCATTTTCCAGCATTTCAAGATAAATTTCACCATTTAAATTACCAGGAATAAACAGAGGTCCAATTAGGTGGTCTCCTAAAATTCCTACCCAAACGTTTAGCTTTTCCGGATATTGAGTGTAAGCTTCTCGAAATACATGAGGATTTGTATCGCTACAAATTCTACAGTTATGCCGGTTAACCTCTCCATTAAGTGAAAAAGTGCATTCGTCAGAAAAGCAAACGTTGTAAAAGAAATTTGGGTTATTGTTGATACGCTCGGCCATAATTTCGCAAAACTCTTACCTTCGATCCAAATTATCATCATTTAATTCATGAATTAATTTAATTTTGTACGGATGGAACTTGTGTTTATGTAAAATTCTGAAAACGTTAGATTGGCCAATACCGGAAACTGCAGAAAGTTGTCGGACAGATTGCGTGTTTGGCATAAGTTGGACTTGGCCCAATACCGCCACAGCTGCTCCTTTATCATTCACAATTCCAATGGGTGCCCTTTTTTTATCCATTACTATACCCGTCTCAACAAATTTTAAAATCAATTCCATTACGTATCTATGGTTCAGGATAGTTTCGGTTAAATATCCTTGCAGCCGCTCGGGCACCATTTTGATTTTGGTAATACAGGCTAACCAGCTCAACACGTTTTTGCAATGTGTACACCATAATTTGTTTTTAAAATTGTAAGCAAATCAGCAAAGTAGTAACTCAACAGTTGATTTTTAATACATGAAATGATCGAAGAAACGTGATAAACACCTTCTAAGAACAAAAAATGAAGGCAAGATAAGAAAATGTCTTGATTTTTTTTTTTATTTATTAGTTCGAGAGAATTTATTATGTATGTAAATAAAGGACAATTTGAACATTTGATTTAAAAACGCAGTTTTGATTTTTTTGACAAACAATTAATTTTTTTTTAATGTGATTTTTTTCATACACCGTTGTAAAAAGGCTTCCAACACCTTACAAATGAAGTATCACTCAACCCCTCTTCCCTATTCAATTTTGAGGGGTTGAAGCGCCCCCTCATAGAGGGTTGCTCGTTCAAGCCTCAAATATACGTCAAAAGATGTCCCCCAAAGAAAATCATCCGATGTGTTTCGGGAAATTTTTCCAATTACTATGGGATAAGAAATATACGGGGTGGCTCGTCTGAGACGGAACATCCTGTATAGCGTTTTGATGTGCATCGGGATGGTAGTGCAGGTGTCTAAGGCGCTCGTAAAAAGACACCCGGCTTCGAATCCTACAGAAGACCATGTAAATTAATTTGCATGGTTCTCTATAGGATTTAATAGATGCCGTATTAGCAGAAATTTAATTTCACCATCAATCATCTTTAAGTCACCCCGGAGCGCCACGTCAAAAAATAATAGCCGTCCCTTCACCTACACAAGTCGCTCAGTCGGCTTCAGGGGTTGAAATTCACTCGTAAGGGGATGAAATAGGGAGAGTATTATTATTGTTTGCTGGACAAGATCAAATGCTGAATAGAATTTGAAAATCTTATACAATACAGCGAAATGCTGTACAGTCAGTCAGCCTAGTGTAAATTAAATCAAAAAAATGTGAAAAATCCGCAATTTCGATTACACCTAGTACAAGAAATTGCAAGAAATTTGCTAGGGGTTGTGGATTTTTTTAAAATACAAGCCCATAAACAAACATAATAAATAAAAAATACAATATTATAAATAAAAACTAATAAAACAACCATGGGCGCCGCCAGAACTTTTTCCAGGAGAGGGGACAAGAATGCAAAATTGTGAATTGTTTAAAACAAATTACAGAAATTTAGGGATTTATAGACGCTATCCGCTATCGTGTAATATGATACGATACGAAATATAATTTTATATATTTTGGTGGAAACTTTTTGATCAAATCCAATCAAATAGAACTTTATATCAAAATTTTGAACGAAGTACAGGAATTTTTGATATGTCACTTTAGGGTATTTGAAAACGATATGTAAAAAAAATTGTTTTTCAGGCCCCAGCAAATGGCGAGAAACAAGAAAATGAGACGTTTTTAAGGTTATTTAAAAACGGTAGCATAAAGTTTTACATAAAAATTATATTTAAGCATTTTTGGCAATTATTAAAACTAACGGAGTTAGGGTGGTTAAGTTAAGAGGAGATATACAGGGTGTTTTAGATTTTAACGGACACAACTTAGTGGGATGGAGCTGAGCTGAGCTGAGCTGAGCTGAGCTGAGCCGAGCCGAGCCGAGCCGAGCCGAGCCGAGCCGAGCCGAGCCGAGCCGAGCCGAGCCGAGCCGAGCCGAGCCGAGCCGAGCCGAGCCGAGCCGAGCCGAGCCGAGCCGAGCCGAGCCGAGCCGAGCCGAGCCGAGCCGAGCCGAGCCGAGCCGAGCCGAGCCGAGCCGAGCCGAGCCGAGCCGAGCCGAGCCGAGCCGAGCCGAGCCGAGCCGAGCCGAGCCGAGCCGAGCCGAGCCGAGCCGAGCCGAGCCGAGCCGAGCCGAGCCGAGCCGAGCCGAGCCGAGCCGAGCCGAGCCGAGCCGAGCCGAGCCGAGCCGAGCCGAGCCGAGCCGAGCCGAGCCGAGCCGAGCCGAGCCGAGCCGAGCCGAGCCGAGCCGAGCCGAGCCGAGCCGAGCCGAGCCGAGCCGAGCCGAGCCGAGCCGAGCCGAGCCGAGCCGAGCCGAGCCGAGCCGAGCCGAGCCGAGCCGAGCCGAGCCGAGCCGAGCCGAGCCGAGCCGAGCCGAGCCGAGCCGAGCCGAGCCGAGCCGAGCCGAGCCGAGCCGAGCCGAGCCGAGCCGAGCCGAGCCGAGCCGAGCCGAGCCGAGCCGAGCCGAGCCGAGCCGAGCCGAGCCGAGCCGAGCCGAGCCGAGCCGAGCCGAGCCGAGCCGAGCCGAGCCGAGCCGAGCCGAGCCGAGCCGAGCCGAGCCGAGCCGAGCCGAGCCGAGCCGAGCCGAGCCGAGCCGAGCCGAGCCGAGCCGAGTTCAAAACACCCCTATACTTAGCCTTTAATCTTACTCGTTTTTGAGATATAGGGTTTTTTATGACTTTTTGCCAAAACTAAAATCGGCCATTTTGTTTGAACGGCTAGAGTTATTTTGATAAAATTTTGTACAAAAGTTACACACTCTTAGGTTAATAAAAACCATCATTTAATTTTAAAAAATTTCACGACCGGACTCTCTTTTTTATATTGCTCTTCTTAGCTAGAATATCACCCTGTATATCGGATTTTAATAAATGTTACTACACATTTAAATAGTACATGGATCAACAAATAAAATAATGTAATAATATTTAATGGCACCATCTTGATGTTCTTACAATAAATTTTTATAATGGCGACTACATTATTATAAATCAGTATTTACAAAATTAAAATCAAATATTTTACCCTGTACTTTTAAAACTCTACACAAATTAGGTACCATCTTTATTTTTTTAACTACAGCATTTTCCATTAGGAAATTGAACATCTACACAGGATCGAGCTCACTTTATTTAATAAAGTAATAGAACAAACTAACAAAAACAAATAATTAATTAAAGCTAAAGTAGATTTTCAAAATGAACAACGTGAACATCAATACACCTCGAACAGGTTTTTCACTGATTTGTCAATTATTTTCGGTTTATTTCTAATGTTGTTACATACATTGTTAATTTTTTCCAATAACTATGCTCAGGTATTCATTTCTTCGTTGTACACCTTTGATTTAAGGTAGCCCCATAAAAAAATAATCCAGAGGTGTTAGATCTGGAGATCTTGGTGGCCAATTGACGGGACCGCCTCGACCTATCCATCTATTTGGGAAACGATGATTTAACTGTGCTTGGGTATTAAGTGTAACCACTCGGATGTTTCGTTTATCGCTAGGCTAGGACCACCCTGTCATGATTCACGAGTGCTACTCATATTTCGTAGAACGATACGTCGAACTGGGACACATAAGAATATTTGGTGATTAGCACGGCATTCTTTGATAGGCATTCATTCGATACGTTTAATTTTATGTACTATTATTCTTAACACTGATTAAATTCGATTCTATATTAAAATCAGATTTATTTCATTTAAAATTAATTAACATAGTTTACATAAGTGATTTTTAAAAAAATCCACACCAAACATTTAATGTCTGTTCAAGTCGCAATCCACAAAAAATGGATTGTCGAATACATCTGACCCTGACGAGAATATCGAAAGGTTGTATAAATATGGCAAGTCGAGCTAATTTCGTTAGATTTATATGGACACGACACTGGCTGGTTTTTGGCGCGGTTCAGGCGCGACTCGTTGTATTTACACGCACCTTCATGTTTTATTGCTCATTTTGTTTTAATGTTTTATATTCACAGAATAAAAATAATAAACAATTTATTGAGTAGTTTTTTTTCTGTTTCTATTATATCGCTTTCCATTTTCGATAATTTAATTATGGCTAGTTTTGTTGATTGTTACTCGTAATCGATCTTGTTGCATAATTATAACTATTAGTATGAAAACATTATTTTAACTCACTTTAAAAGTATCCGTAAAAGTATTCTTTAAAGTATCCGAAAAAATTATCCCGATACTTGTATCCGAGTAGTTTTTAGGTGAAAGTATCCTAAAAAGTATCCGGATACATTGTAAATATCCGTATTCGGTACTTTTTTTCTGTATCCGACCCAACTCTAAAAATTTTATGCTTTACAATTTTTATTAAGAACTTTTTTTATAGCACCTACCGTTTTTAAATAACCTTAAAAAACACTTTATTAAGCTATTGCATAGCTTTTATCGCGGGCTTTAAGCGTGTCGACCGAATCAAGAAATTTTGTATTTCCGTAACGAAAAACCTAACACCCCCACTCCGACCGGCACAGCGGTTTTGAAAGCCGTGGAAAGATTTATCCGACTCTATTCGTATTAGTATGAAGCGGAGTTAAATATACGTCTGCGGACTGGAACGTTTATGCAATACAAGAACTAGAAGAGCTTTCTCTGGCTTCTAATAAATTGGTATCACAAATGTTCCCGGCTGGCGTAAATATTAGATATAATTTTTTTTTGCAAGATTTATAATAGTATATTATGCAACGATCATGTAATGATGATTATTAATACACGAGCATTAACCGGGATACGAAACGAGCCAAAGGCGAAATTTGTATGGTTTATGCGAGTGTTTTAATAACCATTACATGAGAGTTGTATACTCAATTTTTTCTCCACCCGATAAATAATCAAGACCTATAAATATTATATTTATATTGGTATTGGCACAATAACAGTAATTACTCGTATTTCTATAAAAAATTCTACAAAATTGTAATTAATAGTATTACTTTGGGTATTGGTATTACTTTGGGTATTGGTATTTCCCTAGATTTTTGCGACAAAATATTTTGTACTGTATTTTC